CTGAAGTCAGTAGACTGCTGAATCAGTTTCTAAATATTTTTCTTTGACTGGAAAGCTGGATAAAATTACTGTGTTTCCAAAGTCTCTTGAAAATAATCGTGTGCTATGCAAGACTAGCAAAGGAGGTTACAGTGACCAGTGTCCACATATTTTAATTCTCTAAGGTCATTTCTGTATGCTCATCTCTTCTTTTTGGTCCGAAACTTCATTTCCCTTTCACAGCTGTGAATTCTCTGGTGGGCCCTGCAGATGGATTTGATAAATGCTGCTAATATCACCTTCTGATCTACCAATGCTCTGACTTTGGTCTGTAGGTCTTGATGAGTAATTGCCGTTGTTCTACTCCAATGACTGAACTAAGTTGCCCTGCTTTAAAGGGTTCAGACGCATGTGATTTTAGCCAAGGTGGCCCGTCGCAGCATACCGATGGACACTGACCTTTCAGGAGTGCCTCATCGCTTTACACCGAAGCAAGCAAAATTACCTTGATTTCTACAACCGGCTATACTCTGTTATAATCCTTTGATTACTGCCAAGCTACATAATAACAAAAATTTGGCATTGCAGATAATTGCTGTCTTCGGCTGACGCGCGCACTGCTTAGCCGCACGTGGCCCCATGAGCTCTGCAGCCCAGACTCCGGCCCTGGGGCGCGGGAGCTCACTGAGCCCCCATAATTAGGACCGCACGGCACCGAGACTGTCCGTCCAGCCCTACTCCGTTTCTTCTCATGAGTGGCATACTGAGTGTCTGGTTCTGCAGACAGTGCCCGGGCAGGACCACACGCCCTGGTATCCTGCATTGCCGTCTCCTTCACCCTTGTATGTAAATGCACTTACATCGTAGTACTGACAAGAAAAAGGGAGGAAAAAAACGAAACTCTCTCCCGCAGCTTCTACAGACAGCACAGTTGCCTGGGAAAACAGCAGTGTTGATGATTCCCTTGGGAGGTGGTGGGCACTGCAGCTGATAGAGGCAACAGCCCTGAATGCTTTTAGTTCTACTCAAATTAAATAGGGAATATCCTTTACTGCAGATGGAGTCGTTCTTTAATTCTGGCAGAGAACTTCCCTGGTACCAACCCAATTTCCGTCCGGGTCAATAGGAGCTTGAGTATACAAACTAATTGAAGCCTTTGGCTCATGAAGTTTGCTAAACAGAAATAACATCGCTTCAGGCTGCAAAATCCTATCAATACATTTAACCTGCTTTTGAAACTCTTACTCTGCCCTGTGAGTTTTTTCTCCCAGTCACAGAGCAGTGGATGCGTGCTGCTTGCCGTCTCACACAGACTGCATGGCTGTTTTCCCCGAGGTGTATTGGCTGTGTCTCGTGGGGTATTAGCTAACTACAGAGATGTCACTCGTATGGGTGGATGGTGTTTTCATTTGGAAGATGTTAATCAAACATTCATGTCGTGCTGGTCACTGGATGTTTTAGAGCAAATATCCTGACACAATATTAGCAACTCAGTGGTTACAGCAGCTAAAACCTATGCCCTGCATCATCCTTGCTATCATTCACATGGAAATACATTGTTGAAATTGAGTTGGGGAAAAAAAACAGTCTTCTGAACTGCCTATGACCTATAGTTCTGGAATTAACTTCCAGCCACAGCATTTTAAAACCTCTGTGTAATTGCTCAAATTACCCCAGCACGTCATGTAACACCTTAAAGATTTGGTTCTTAAGGATGATCTTATAATGAGTAAATTAAATGGAACAACATATTGATTTTTAGGCTTTGAACTTAATTTCTTTGTCATTTTTAAGGCATTTAGAGTGACAGACATACTCATGTTTACTGTTACAGCAATGATATTATTCACAATGCTGTTTAGTGTACAATATGGAAATAAGTGAGAAGTTTGTACTGAAAATTGCCATGAATAGACTATGTTCAGGGAGGAGGGTTTTTTAATGCAATGTTATAGGCTTTAAAAATTAAGACATTAGTCCATGAGATTTTGACTGCTCCTTGGTATCATCTGGCCTCGATTAATTTTCTTCAGTTTTCAGCAGTGCCAAGGAGCTCCAGACACCCATGTGCCATGTGTCATAAAGGAAATACAATGAAATGATGCCCATGTCAGGTCCCATTCCTTCTCTTACTAAGTTACGTTGAGGGAAAGTGACATTTATAACTGTTTGTGACAAGACCTAGTGAATGCCTTGCTGTTTCACCAGTAAGCGTGCATTTTGACAGTACAGGCTTAAATGAGAATCCAAGTGCTTTTAATACCAAAAAAGGTAATAGCTAAAACATGATTTTCTACTGAAAAATTAACTGGAGTTTTCTCAAAATGCACAGTTCAAATTTTCGTCATTTCTCTCCCTCATCTCCCCCCCTGTCTACAGTGCTACCAGGTAAATAAAGAAAAGCTCTTAGGTGGAATCACACTGCACAGTCGTGAACGCATGAGTAACTCATCATTGCCCTTCACGAGAATGAGCAATGTCTGTTTGCGTAGTTTGTGGACACACTGGGACAGGAGGGTACAGATACTGTAACGTAGTCACCTAATATATAGGAAAAAAAATAATTTGTTAAATAACCATTAAATATACAGCAAGAAATAAAACTTTGTGTAAATAATCCATTGAAAATATTTAACTGTTTTACACATGAGGATAAATTGTCTACAATGAGCCTTCCCTAAATATTTCTTCTAGGCACCTGGTTGGGCTTTGACATCCAGCTGGGTCATTGTGAGCTTGTGGCTTCGGCACTTTGGGTTAAAGATGTCCCTCTACCTGCGGAAACTTGGGGAACTGACAGAGGGCACAGCACACAATACAGTCTTGTTCCTAGCGTCTGTCCTCTCTGTCACCAGTGTCAGCAGCTCATCTGCATAGCACAGACACAACTAAACAGACAACTGCGGCAAATAAACACTCCAGAAACTTCCTTGGATAATAATGCACGTCTGCGTGCTTAGTCCTCTAAACTCCAGGTGTCATTTAGTTTGCAAATGTCATCATAGCAAGAACAATCTGAATGTATAAAATTTTGAAGGTGCAAATTGGTGTGAGAGGACAATGCATCTATTTACCATCGCCAGCCCCTGGAATGCCCATGAGTAATTTATACCATTGTGTTCTATGGAGCATTGTTCGTTTATTCAGTCCTTGCAGTTTTCACACTTCAGAAATAGCCCTCTTCCTCCTCATGCTTCCACTTTCCCGCTCTGATCTGCTTACTTGGCAGCAGTAGGAAAAATCTGTTTGTGCTGTATTAATAGATATGTATTTCAAATAAAAGTTTGAACCGGGGATGGTAGACTTTCACCCTATGCTAGATTTGCGGCGGGCAGATGATATCTAAAGGTGGAGACACTTGGAGCGGAAAAGGGATGGTAAAGATTTGTGTTCATAGCCGGTTGGTATGTATGTATTGTGGCTACACATCTGTCTATACGCACTTAAATGTAGGATCAGGGCTTGGAAATGCGCACAATGAACCATTTTTTTCCCAAAATATATTGAGATTACTTCAGTAAGAATAGTGCTGAGCCATCCCAACATTTTTAGGATTGAGCATATTATTAGATACATACCGTAAGTTTCCACACAGATGTTTGTAAACATTTATCATCTTGGATACTCAGGCTTTTGATCAGCTGTTAAAACATGTACAAATTATCTGCAGATATTTGTATTGCAAAATCTTTTCCAACATACTGTCACAGAGTTTGGTGTCAGATGCACTAAAATAGGGAAAGCTGCCCGTTATTTGGCGTCCTCGTGTACAAGTACGTCCATACAGCAACACAACACGGCAGCTAGAACCTGAAGAAAGCCGGGTGGGCCTTGGAGAGGTAGCTAATCAGCAGTGCAGGTGGTTCAGGTAGCTGCTTTTCACACAGATAATTAATGTGTACAAGTAGCTGCTAATTGCACATTTCAGGAATGATTTATGAGGTGGCAGAGGGGAAAGAGGGACACAATCTAATTTCTTTGGGAACCTCTGCCATTCATACAATGGTATCAGCACAGCTGTGAGATGGGACATGATTAATGAACAGTGGGCAAACACGCCGCCATCGCGCGGGATACTGTTCGGATGACACGCTTGTCAAAACAGAAAGTGGCACTTAGAGCGACGGCCAGTAACAGAGCAGATTATGAGCTTTTTGTCTTTTAACTTGCTAATTCACTTGGACGTCGGGCTTCACACCAGCCGTGGTTCTGAAATAAGGTCGTTTATGTCCATCAGAACAATTATTGGTTTAATGTGGACGATTGTCATTGACTTTTATGAGCAGGTTTGTGTTTATGAACAAAAGACGGCAGATATTTATTTTCTCTGTAGAGGTCTGGAGGAAAACAAATTTGGCAAGGACTAATATTTATACAGGACATTAAATCTAGACTTATGAACATCTCCATTAAATATCTGCTTCTAGTAGTATATCTTGGCTGCTGCCTGGGAACACATTTTACCTATTGTCACGTATCCCTCTTTCTGCTATCTGACATGCACCACCCAAAATAGGTGTACAAAACCACTGCTTGTCTTTGCTTAGGAAGAGTGATGTGCACATCCTCGTGTTTATTGTACCTTCTTATCTTAGCTAAAGATAATACGAAGCAATATGATACTTTCTGCTGCCATTTTTGTGGGCTGATTAGCATATCAGTTTGCTGTACTTTTTTAATGCTAGTCTCATTTATCTCTGAAAAGATTGCTAATAAAAAATTGAAAACATTTAGCCATCTTGAAATAGTAAGTGTACATATAGGTCACTGCTGTAAAGAGCCAGCGTTACGTGTTTCACTGAGATGAAAAGTTGGTCTTGCATTTTGAATACTTTTCTCAGTGAGCTGTTTATGTATCGAAATAGTACTGCTTTGCACTGTTTTATAAGCTATGAGATGAGGGATGTACCTCAAGCTGTGTAATCAAAGTCTCTGTTTATTTCCTTTTCTATCGTGTAGTATTTTTAGATTGCTTCAGTTCAGCATTAAAGACTGAATGCATTTATTTCTATCTTTTACAGCTTTTAGAATTTGACAGAGAGCTGTCAGTCTTTAAAGACAGATTGTATGAACTGGACATCTCATTTCCTCCCAGGTAAGATTCATACATAATCAATTTATTTAACTAGCTAGCTAAGACATAATTGTTACTAGCGCTGCAGGCAAGATGTGAGTGTTCCCACACATATTGTAGAAATGATAATGATCTTCGTTCCTTTCATGAACGTTTAGTCTCCCCACACCGCCTCCATCACTGCATAAGCAGCGGCAGCGCAGCCCGCATGCCGATACTGCTCATCGTTTGGATTCAGCTGATCCTGTCTTTTATGGCTGCTCTAAAAAGAGCCCTGCCGTGATTGTGTGCTGAGGTGTGTAGCTACTTTTAAGCGCTGGACCCAGATAACCTGTTAAAATACTTTATTGCAACCGTAAAGGCAGTCTTTGCCTCCAGCTGTGGAAGAGGGACGAGCAGTGGCCCCACTGGGAACAGACCCGCAGCGGGGGTGCGGAGCCTCATGCCATTGCTCACGGCGGCTCCGGGAGGAGGATCAGCAAGGAGGGCAAGAACTTAGATCCTGCTTTTTCAGTCTCAGTAAACATGTTATATAGCTGCTAAGACTATTAAAATAATTCTGCTTTTTTAATACACATGCATGATTTCAATCAGCTCTATCCCTTAGGTGAATTTTAGCCGTGAATAGACAAGTGGTGCTGTCAGAACCAAGAGTTTTGCAAATGGCAGTCCTGTTCAGGAGAAATCTGTGGAAAATTTGGTACAGGTTTAAACATCTATGGCCCCTTTCCAAGAATGAAGAAGTCAAATCTCACAATTGCTTTTAAGGGAAAGAAATACTGCATTTGCAAAGCAAGTTAAAGTTCAAGAAATCATAGATAAAAACATACTTTTTATATACTTATTTTTTAAATAGATACAATATTCTTAAATATTGCTCTTTTGCCCTTTATGGACAGATAGAAAAGTATGATGGTTTGGCATACACTAAGAAAAAATTTGGAAAGCTTGCCTTTTTGTTATCATAATCTCATTATTTCTCACCAGCCAGCTGCGATACTGATTATATTGGTCCCTTGGGACAGTGGAAGTATGCATGGAGAGGTTACCGCTGCTCTAAATTGTTCTTATTGATTGAGTATGATAACAGAAGACCAGCAGTGTGTACATCTCTGAGTGTATTTCATTAGTTGTGTACCTGGTCAGGGAAAAAGGAGGTGAGGGGAAATAGATACAAATTTTTTACCACAAATACTCTTCTACTTGATTTCACCAACATCAGCGCTTTCAGCCAGAACGAGGTTTGGCAAAAGTACCAGGTTGCATGAAAGGTTTTGCAGATTCTTGAAACCTTTCTGTCAGTACGGTTTGGTGTCGTTCCGCTCTCAAGCAAAGATCAGAAATTTGGTGTGAGTAGTCTTTGTATCTAAGTTGTACTGCTGATCTGTCAGACAGAACGTGAACATCTCGCCAAGGTCTAAGCTTTTGAAAAAATTCTTTTCACAAATACGTCCAAATGTCAGTAGAGATTTCTGTTACTATTTTAGTGGTTAAGTTTCCTGCGAATTACAACTAGACTGGGTACAACCCCGGGTTTTCCTCACAGCTACCAAGGGCCGTGCCCTGTGAGGTTGTGGGCAAGGAATAAATGAGCCTTCCTCTCCTTTACATCCCGTTGGAGCAAGTAGCGATGGGAAACTGGCTGAAGCGCTGGTACAAAAGGCAGAACCAAAACTCTACAGGAGCCACCTGGCAGCCATGCAGAGACGGGCACAGCTGGGACTCCGGAGGGTGAAGCCTCAGGCCAGCGCTGGGTCTCCAGGCAAGGAGACCAAGACTTGCAGAAGCAGCCAGAAGGGGAAAGCTCTACCAAGTTAACTGATGAGACACTAGGACTATGAGACAGGGCTGCGGAGGAGGGAGGGCTGAGCAAAGATGATCTGGAGTGCTGGGGGAGAGTGGTGAAAACCGTAGGGAGAGCGAGATGGCTGCAGGACGCTGCCCATGGGACGTGGCGGCAAGTTGATCTTGCCCTTTCCAAGTGAAAATGGGTGGCTGGGAAAAAGATTTTCTGTGTCCCTTCCTAGCACTGATCCACAGAGAGAGTGATAAACTGCTGCTGTCAGATGCTGGAGTACCTAGGAATCCCCATCAGGCCGAGGTAACGCCACTTCTCCTTCAGGTATGGCCAGGATGGAGCTTGAAAGTGGTGAAATGTGAGACTGTATAAAGAGATAAGGAAGCCTTGGGGGGAAATGGAGGATGTTTGACAAAAGAATTAGAAGTTAAACTGGGAGTAAATAGGAGGGCTTGTGAGAGCTGTGACTGAGAACTGCTGACATTGCTATAAAACCAGCAGCGAGCTTCGGGGGGATGGATGGGGAGAACCGTATGAACAGGAGCAAGAGGAGTAAATTAAATATTAGTCAACTGCATTTGTACTCTCTGCTGCCTCAGTATCTGAATACTTTGACACAGAGCATTAAAATCCAAATGATGTATTTCAATACCTTTAACATTTTAAGCTACTGTATCTACTGTATGAGTCTATTGTTGTCTAGAACAAAAATATTAAGTGCTACACCAAAGATGAACCCCTGGTAAAAAAATTAAGACCAGGTGAAAATGTTCCATCACAGAAATCCCTGTGGATGAAGCACAGATTTTTGACTTGGTCTAATTGACGTAGCGAGTGAAATGAAATACCCTGTAATAAGAGCTAAGTATCATCTCCTCTCCCCTCCCCTGCCCACATACTTGCAGACTTGGTTAGGAAACTACAGGAGCAGCTCTCTGAGGCCGTAGCGCTGTCATCAAGGAGCACACTCGCCCACTTCTGATGGCAACTTATCCGCTGCCAGGTCCTTCTTTCTCAATTCTATTACTTGTTTTTGTTTCCTTGCAAAACCAAAGCCAAATCTACCTCATATCCTTCGTTTGCTTTGTTGAGCCCTAGCTGTCGTTAATCTGCGTTACAGGATGCAATGGACTCACGTCCTGCATCATCCCCTCACTGCCCCTGAACGAGGGGCCGCCATACACTTGCTCCTGGCATGACGCCTGCTGTGGGCATTTTGGTATGGCTCTGCAGGAGGCGGCACCCCGTCTCCAGAGCTGCTGCTGAATCCTGCCTGGGGCAGCAGCCAGCAGTCACGTTACTCTTGCTTCTGTTGTCTTTCAAGTAAGATGAAAAACCAAGACCCTGACCACTTCTTGCCATCAAAGATCCCATAACATTTTTGCAAGAGCGTAGACGTCTAGACAGATGTTCCGGCCAAAGTCCCGGTAGTTGGATTCCGCCTCCCCAAACGCGCTGTTACTTTAGTTGAATTTGATGGTATTTTTCACTTCCTGCCCCAAACCGCTGTGCAGCGTGCTGGTGCCATGCTGATTGCTGCTGCACTGCAGCGCTGAGGGACGCTGAACTCAGCAGTTGTCTCCAGACCGCAGTGCCCTAACTCGCTCAGATGCTTGCTAAAAAGGATCCGCACTACCAAGGAGGAACAGATACTTCTGAGCAGAGACCCTGTCCAAACCTTGGGAAACGGCCACGACGGGTCGTTTCCAACTTCACCCGTTCGCCTCTCCATTCCCACTCGGTTCCCAACTTGTGGGCTTTGTGAACAGTCTGGGGAGTGGGAAGGGGGGCACAGCGTAATGTGGCCAACCCTTCCTCGACCTCCAAAGGCCTGCAGAGAACCAGCCCTGTGGCCGCTGTTCTCGCCTGCGCCAAAGGGGAGCAGTGAAGGGGATGAACGTGCGGCTTTGCCTGCTGCTTGCTCTGTTTCCATCTTACAGGAGGAACAGAACCTGAACAGTAATAATAATAATAAATAGTAATAAATGTTTATATACTGAATGCTGGCATTTCCTTTGTGGCATGGAAGGGATGCTAACACTGAGTTTATAGAACACAAAATATCTCTGAACTTAAGCAGAGAACATTGATAAAATAATTGCATTATGAGAATAGTGCTAAAAATACAAGATGTAAAAACAACAAGCTAAACTCATGCATATACAAAGAGCAAATCGGCTTTACGTTAGGGAGCTTTTTTCCCACCCACCCCTTTTCATATTCTGGGTTGTACAGCAAGGGAACCCCGCTTTCCGTTCTGCAGTCCTTGCATGGGCACCAGGCTCAGTAGGAAGTCTTGCCTAAGTGAAGTACTGCAGAACTGGATTCACGGTTGTTAGAGGTACTGCATGTCAGTGGCCTATTTTTGTTCATGAAACTAAGCACACTGATTTTCCTGGAAGGAATAATAGGATTTATTTTTCTTTGTATTGAAATAATGGCCACAATGTACTACTAACTGCAAAACCAGGTATTTTGAATAGGCAAAAAGCAGTGGCTTTAGTGTAGGACATTTTAACTTAGAACCTTTTCACTCATCCAAGAAAGAAACTAAATAGATGGCCTCAATGTCTTGGTTTCACTTCTTAGTAATTTTTCCTCCATTTTTTCCCTCATTATTTCTTTTCTTCTGGAAAAAAAAAAACAAACAAACTTTATCTTATCATGACTTAGCTGCTTTTATATAGTTTGTAAATACGAGCTTAATCTATATTTGTCATATATCCAGTCATACTAGATTTTATATTTTTAACCAAAGGAGGATATGATCAGTCCTGTATATTTAGAAACTACTTCTTTAAGCTATTTGATATTCTTAGCTGGAAAGCATATGGTTCTGCAAATGCATCAAAGAAAGCCTCTTATTCACTGGAGGGAGAGACAGAGAACACTCTACTCGCTTTTTGTGTCAGGCTTATGGGCCTAATTAGTGAGCATTTGAATTTAGAAGGAAGTTGTAAGCAATTGTAATGATAGCCTTAAAATAGTATTTCAGAATTTGTCTTATACATGATATTTTAATTATGGTCCATTGATTGATTCAGTCTAGGAATTACTCTCTACATCTGTTCTTGATCCACGGTGGTTCGGTCTTACATCATGGGATGCTGGCCAACAATTGAAGACAGAGTATCTCGGTTAAAATGGTACTGAATACATTTAGTACTACATTTCACATCTCTCAAAAAATGAAAGATCACTTAGGACACTTTTCTCGTTCTTA